TGTGTGTGTGTGTGTGTGTGTGTGTGTGTGTGTGTGTGTGTGTGTGTGTGTGTGTGTGCGCTTTCCAGAGAGTGAGGTGTGACAGTGACGTACTAACCTTACCAAAATGAGCCCTGCTGCCTACTTCCTGCCCCTCCCACCGCTGCTCATCGTCCAATCACCAAGCCCCGCTGCCTCTCTGCTTCCTTAGCAGCCGCTGTTCGATTCCCGCCCCGCTCCTTCGGCGACCGCAGCGTTACTCGTTCGTACGTGTTGCTTTTTTAACCGCATGAACCCTTGTGTTACAATCCCAACTCACAGCGTTTTCCTTTTGGACGGATATTGTGTGACCCTCAGCAGTTCAGCCGGCAGGTATCACTGGAGTGAAGGGAGAGTCCTGTTGGACGTTCATACTTCATGTTGTGGCTGTGATCGGGCTGCTGTTTTTACTTTCCCTACTAATACAAAATACTTCATTTTAACCCATAAAACCTGCATGATGTTTTTTCTTCTTTTTGTATCCAGAGCGAATGTCAGAGTTTACCTCAATGTTTCCTCGATCACCAGCAAACGTGACTTTGTAATCTGGTCTCTGACAAAAGCTGTTAAATAAGAGTCTGATGCTAATGATGACTGTTACACAGCTTACCCTGTTTGGTGCTCTAGTTTCTACAGACCATAAATCTGTCTTCTAGATCTCCTCTGATACTCACGGGAGCTCTGAGAGGCAAGTGAGACATAAAAACACGTCTGGTCTAAATAGTTTTCCCTCCTGAAAGACTTAAGAACCGGTTACAAACGATCGTTTCTCATCATGTGTTTGTTGTTGATGTGTAAGAAGGTGCTGCTTGCAGCTTTAACGTTTTGGAACTTAGATAAATGATCCTGGAGAAACCTTTATTTCACTTGTTCTTGAGTCATAAGCACAGAGGACAGAAAATGCATCACCAAAGTTGTTTGTTTCTCTTCCCTCTCTGGGCTTGAAAGTGAAAATGAGTGTTTTCCAAAACAACCTTTAAGTTAAATAAGATTTCTGGTGAACGAGGTAACCTGCAGCTTAATCAGCTGCCCAACTACGACAGACTTTCTCCCGTTTACCTTTTTATTTTCTCCTCATCCATCATCCATCCATCGAGTCATCGCTGTGCTCCCTCCATCCGTCGTTCACAACCGTCTTTCTCTTCCGCCTCTCACTTTCTCTCTCTCTCTCTCTCTCTCTCTCTCTCTCTCTCTCTCTCTCTCTCTCCAGGAACCCAGTGACCACTCCTCTCCCTCCCCAACATCCTCCTCCACCTTCTACTACCCCGACCAGGACCTGCCCCACTCACAACCCTCAGCGGGCCCTCAGCTTCGCGCTGGACTCCCACCAGCAGGAGAACTTCCTGGGCCTGCTCCCGTGGAGGCTGAGCGGCGTCCCCTCCGTGATGATGCCCCTCCCCTCGGCGCGCTCCCGCCTGTCACTGCAGGAGACGGTGCTGTCGCCAAAGTAACGGAGGACCAGTGGCCGTGGAAGCCGCACAGCGAAATGGGGTTTAATGGCGGCGGTGGCGGAGAGGAGGAGCTAAACAGTCGCACCACTGAGAAATCTGACATGCAGATGACCCTGATTTGATTTGATGATTGACAATCTCTAAAGGGGACACACACACACACACACACACACACACGCACACTGAAAGGTGCTCTGTGTGCTCAGAAATCTACCAAACTACAAAACGTCCTGGGACCATTTAGTTTTTGTATGCGTGTGCACATGTGGAGTAGGACCTTCTTCCTCTGCCGTCTCTTCCTTCACTCTTGTCTTCCCGGATATTATTTTACAAAGTATCGCTGCTGACGAACAAAAACCATGTTGTCATGCAAAGATAAACCGATGTGTGATGTCGTACAGTGAAGGTTTTGATCCGTTTCAGTAGCGTGAACACATGAACCCGGCCCACCGCTGTGCGCTGAGCCGGGTTCATGGTTCATGTCAGAGACGGACGAACCAAAGTTTGTAGTTGTGTTGTTTTCTACAGCAACAGCTCAGATGTCCGTGTCGACGCTGCAGAGAGACTAACTAATCCAGAACCTCCGTTTGTTTTGTAAGACAATCCAGCTTGATGTTAAAACTCTTTGATCCTAATTACCGTCTCTTCTTCTTCTTCTCCAGTAGAAACGTGGTCCTGTCAAACAAACGTTTTAGTGCTTTAGAGCTACAAAGTCCTGATTCACTGGTGTTTCTACGTCTGCACGTTGTTTTCATCTTCTTGACCAACACATTTCCTGCCGGCGTCTCATAGAATTCCGAGATCAAAGTCGTACATTTTCAATAAAAAAGAACCTGGATGTTCTCCGAGATTTTAATGTCATAAATTCTGTATGAAAAAATCTACAATTCTCTCTTTGATTAAAGTCACAAATTTACAAGAATAAATCTTGTTTTCTGTGCTCAGTACTTGATGAGGTGAAGTGAATCTGCGTGGAGCTTCAGCTTAGAGTTGAACTTGGGAGAATTAGCTCAGATTTAAAAGTGAACGAGAACTCAACTTTCAACCTTAATCCCTAAAATTGACCACGGCTTCAAACATTTAGGACCAGAGATGCAGAGTTATTAGCTTCTATCAATCTGCTTTGTTTTTAAATGATCTGCATGAATTCAATAACTTTCTAAATTACAAAAGATTTTAAATCTTTCAACTGAAGCAAAAACCTGAATTTGACCAAAGGAGTGAGGATGGACTGTTGCATGACTCGTCCTCGTTCTGCTGAGCGCTCGCAGTGAAACACTTCAAATGTTTCTGTTAATAAACGGACTGAAGTGTTTTCATTCACTCACCACCTGCACATTCACCGCTCTTCTTCTGTGACTCCAGCTGTTGATGTATTTGTGTTGTTGGTTCGAGGATCTATTGTTGGTTTGTTCTGCACATTTAGTTTCTTGTGATTTGGGAGCTGCAGGCGAGCAGAAGGCTCGCCTGCAGCTCTGCTGGTTGTGGGTGTTTTTAATGATCTGGTGTGCTTTTAATTTTGATGATTTATTATTTACATTGAGGGAAAACAAACTACATATATGTACTGATTTGTATGAACACGTGTGCATGGACCCCCCCTCCATTGCTGTTCCCTGTTAAACATATGTTGGGTGAAGTGCCTGCATTGTTCTTTCTAAACAGATGATACAATGAGCTGTTCTGACCCTTTTTATTGTGTATGTGATTCAAAGACCATGTGCTCTGTTTATTAAAGACTTTTGAACATATTGTTTTACTGGATTCCGGTGTGTTCTTTGCTGGAGGACTGAGAGGACTGAGAGCAAAGCAGCGGCTGGAGGGTTTAAATATAGCAGATGTTTCTCATTTCAAATTTAAGCTTTTTAAAAAAAATTCTGAGCCCATTGTTTGATTGTGATTTGGTAATATATGCACATATTTGGGTTGAGACAAAGAAACACACAAAAAGGACTTCATAGGACGCACCTCTCACCAACCTGATGCAGTTATAGCTCCAAGAAGTGTGTGAAAAGTAGTAACGAGCAGAGAAATGTATTTGTGAAGTGATGAATAAACAGTTCTGCCTCTCAAAATGCAAACTTGACTGAACCTAAAGAAAAATCCTAAATATAACTAATAGCAATATCGGTAGTGTTGAATAGGGTTGAGGGTTTGGTTCCTTCAGTGAGGAGCAGGGTCTGTGTGCGTCCTCTTGGCATCACTGTTGTCACATGTTGTAAATCTTCTCCCACACACTACTTCATCTCCTCTCAGGAGGTTTGTCCATTCCTCATGCTCTTCCTCATCGGGTGGAGGCTCTCCAGATGAGCTCTCCTGAGGCGGTCGTTGGTCGTTAGGTCATGATTTCTGGATGCCGGCTACAGAGCGACCGTAACGTGCTGCGGTCACGTCCCACACACCTCGAGGAGTTGCGTAAGACGAACATCATCCAGCGTGATGAGGAAGACGTCCATCTGAGCTGATGCACAGTGCTGTGTGCATGTCTCTGTGGATACAAACTCAACTCCAGTTTGTTATTTCTATTTCTTCTTCCCTTCTCTTCCCGTGTCCTCTTCTGTGCTCAGTTTCTGCAGCTTTTATCAGGTTTGGAGGAAGATGCTATTTTTACATCTTTATTTGTTTGCGCTCAACTCGATCACATCATTGTTTACCTGCTCTCTGTAGATGTTACACTTCTGGGGTCTTGTATATTCGACACAGAAGGTGGTGGAGTGGAGCCATTCATGAGCATGATGGGTAGTGAAAAAGGCAAAGTTCAAATGAATGAACTGTGACCTGAAAGAAACCCGCGTTCATAAATTTGTTGTAAAGAATTAAAAGATTTCCACTTCCGATGTGGGGAAGCGTGTTCTGGTTTCAGGGTTAGAGTTAAACAAATCTCTTCTGGAGGTATTGTAAAGTCAAAACATCTGCAGTGGAAAAGACTGCACTTTTAAGTTAATGTTTTATTTTCATCAGATTGTAACCAACAAGTCTATGATAAAGCAACTTCACATGAACCAAATTTTGGAGACAAAAGTGAGAGTGTGACCCAAAGCACAGTGTCTAAACACTGCCTTCACTTCATTATGTCACATCTGTTCTTCTCCAGCTGTTACAATCAGCGCCGTTCAAATATCCACAAAAATATTTCCAACATCGAGTTCAGTTTGTGTGGACCGCTGAGGCCTTAGAGAGGAACTCCCCTAAATAACCGTCAGTCATTTATTCCTGAGGGTGACGTCTCATCCAGATGTTTCCTAGAGTGGAGTTTTCTCATATCAGAAAACATTACACAGATTTTTAAACAGCTTGCGTTGCACTGAATTCGGTCAATCGTACAGAAATAAAGCGGGCTTGAACCCGAGGTAGTCCTCGGGTAAGGTGAGAGAGTTGTGTTCAAGCTCCTCCAGGAAACGTTCACATCCGGCAAACATGTCGTTCAGTGAGTTTGCTTTGAGTCTGTGTTGTTTACAGATGTGAAGATGCTCTTTTCGCTGTGGAAATACACGAACGTCTGCAGCTGAAAATGAATCAAGTGAAATGAGAAACATATTTTGGACAGACAACACTGACATCACATCATCTACTGAATTCATCTATGAAGCACTGGTTCCACTGTCAGACACATATCAGCAGGTTTATTTCTCCTGACAAACCGCTCTGAACTTCTGCAGCACTTTCATGCTGCTTTGCAAACGTTTGTATCACTTTCTCAAATGATGCTTAGAGAGTTTTAGGAGCACATCTCTTCACAGATTACAGAGACAGTGGTTCACTTCAGGCTCAGCCAAAGACCAGCTTGATCCAAAACCACAGAGCGCCACCGTTAATGGCTCTGTTGGAGCGAGCAGCTTTCAGTTGCTCATCGGCTGCCTGTCCTCGTAAAGAAGCTCTGAAAGCTCCGCAGAGGACGTTTGAGTTGATGTGAGCATGTCAGCGAAAGTTAAACTCAATATTCTTTTATTGGTGGTACTTTTTATTAGATGCATTACTACATACTACATAAATAATACATGACAAAATGTCCCCATTTACAAAAGTACTATCATCATAATACATAACTTAGGCTACATCGTCTTTAAAAACATCTTTGCACCAATTCTTATTAATTTCATGATGCCTCCACACTTTTTCATGCAAACAGACTTATGTTGCAAAGATGAAGTGCTACATGAAGCTAAATGTGAACTAAGATGAATCTTTGAGCATGATGTGATTCGTAGCTCATACAGCTGATCTAGCTCATGGTCGTAGCTCAAGCTTTTGATAACCAAACTTTCAACAAATGGCAAAGCTTCAGAGGAGTAAAATGAAGCCAGACACAGAAGCTGTTGCAGCATTTCGTTCTTGTGGACTTGCAGTCAGACCAAGTCCTTGTGAGCAGCCGTTATCGGTCACGGTTGAAAGAATAGTCCAGCATTCTTTGGAAATATGCTTCATTACTTTCTTGCTGAGAGTTAGATGAGAAGACCGACACCGCTGTCATATCTGTACGCTAAATATGAAGCTGCTACCAGAAGCATGTTAGCTTAGCTTAGCATTGACAATGGAAACAGGGGGAAACAGCTAGCCTGGCACTGTTCAAAGGTTATAAAAAGCACTTTTAAAGCTCATTGATCAAAATGTTGTATCTAGTTTGATCCGTGCAAAAGACGATTCGTCAGCCCGCCGTGCAAAGTAACTTCCTGGAGTCTTGTCTCCGGGAAACCACAAAAGGAACTTCCAGGAACCTCATAGGAACTCAACTCTATACTGCGTTTCAACCGGAGGAACCAGGGTGCAGTTTTAGGTACCAAAAATGTTCCTTCTCTGGGTGTAGTACTATTAACCAAAGATCTTTAGTTTTGTTAGATGTGGGGAAAAAACTAAAATGAACATTTAAAATGTCAAAAAGGTCCTATGTTGATTCATTATCTGTTTACATTACGTTGCAGCTCAGAAAGATGAGTTCTCTTTCTGTCAAATGAAAACGGTCATTTTTATTAGCTATGACTTTGTCTACTTATCACACTAAACTCAACAGCTCACCTCACACATCATACTTCCACCATACTTTTCCTCAAACGATGTCAGTGTGAGTGACTTCTTTGGCAGTTTGCTCTGTCTGAAGAGAGAGATGCTGCCCAGAGAGAAGTCAGGTTAAGTCAGACCTGAAGAGGCAAGCTGGACCAGAAACCATCGACCTACTACGGTTCAGGTCCGGTCGGGTTCTTGGTCTGCCAAGGTTGTCTAAGTCCAGCTAACAACGCGGCAGAATGGAACCAGGAGAATTGAAACCACTGCTGTTTCTTCTTCTTCTGTCGATCTGTTTCAGGTTGTAGGTTCGTCCTGATTTGATCTGGAAACGTCATTGTTTGTCTCGATTTAGACCAAAGTCAGCATCGAAGGCCTGAAGTTTTTAAGGGATGTGATTACAGCCAATATCTGAAACCACAAACACGATGAGACTGAATGCTGCGGAGCGGCCCCGACACGAGGACTTCACTGGACTGTTTGGACAGATGGGAGGAGGCCTGAGTCATCTGAGACAAACACACATACACAGACACACAGGCGCACACAAGCATGCTGTGTGCAGGCAGCAGACAGCTGCACGTTAACACACGCCAACTCTAACTTTGTTGTTCTCTCTTTTGTCTTTTTTACGCTCTCTATCCAACTCGGACACGCACATGCATAACTCAAAACGTTATTGCTGACTGACTCAACTCGAGTGGAATTAGATTGATCTCTCACACACACACACACACACACACACACACACACACACACACACACACACACACACACACACACACACACACAGTGTTTGAATGCTCTCCAGCGGACTTCACATCATAAACAGGAATGATGAGCTGCAGGGGCGTCGTTAGGCCTATTTTAGGGGGGCTGATGCTGCCCAGAGAGAAGTCAGGTTAAGTCAGACCTGAAGAGGCAAGCTGGACCAGAAACTATCGACCTACTACGGCTCAAGTTAACTATTTATTTATTTGGTTAAAATAAACACTTTACGTAACCATCATCTGTTGTGTCTTTGCCGTATTTGTCATAGCCTAGGAGCCGGGTTATGACACCGCCAATAATCATATGACTGAGTCCTGTTCTCTTATTACTCAGCTTGTTAAAAAATGTCAACTTTAATTTTAAATTTGATTTGAACAAAGTGGAACCGTTTTATTTGCTGCAGCCAGTAAATGTTTTGTGTTCAGTGTCATATGAACAGGAAATTAAACCTCCAATAGTCTGTGTGAGGAGAAGCGTGACCTTATGCTTCTTCTTCCAGGACATTCATTATTATATAACAGTTTAATCATGTTTTTAAAATATGAGACCACATACACTCTTGGCAAAGTCTGCGTTAAATCGTTCCTTATGTTGCTGAGGATCTTGGAATCCTTTCATGGATCCACAGGACTCCTTCAAGGCCTAAAGCAACCCTTCATAGTCCCCTGGAAGTCCTTCAGTGACTCCTGGACATCCTCCGTTGACTCCTGGAATAGTTTTCGGCGGGTCACTAGAACTCCCTCAGGGATTTTTTTCAACCCCGCCATGACCTGTTGATGAAAGTAAAGGGTCACTGAAACTCATTTATGGATCAGAATAACTGATTCAAGACCAGGCCAATAGCACCTCTTCACACTGCAGTCCCCTTGAACCCTTTCAATGACCACTTAACCCCATTCCGACCCATGGAGCCTGGCAGAAGACCATTCAACGAAACAGCAGACCCCTTCAAAGTTCACCGATTCGCCTTCAAGCATCATTGGAACTCTTTGAAGGATCCCTTGGACCATCTTGAGGACTAGTGGAGCCCCTAGTCCCTCCAATGATCCATTAAACTCCTTCCAGGATGCCTGAAAGGCCTTGAAAGATCCCTGGAGCCCCTTCAATGACCAGCAGAACTTCTCAACAGATCCCTAAAATTCCATCACACACCCTTAGAGCCCTCTAAAGGAACATTGGTACTCCTTAAAGGACCAATGTGTGACGGTTCACAGTTTACCGTGTGGGTTTAGGATTGGAGCAGAGACTCAGGTGCAGACTTAGACATAATGAGAGGTAAAATGCAAGGCTCTTTACTGGGTACTTAAGCATACACAAAAACATAAACCAAAAACAACTCCAACCAGGAGCGGAAAAAGTCCAAACTGGAATACGAAGCAAAGTCACAAAAAAGGGCTTGGTCACAAAAAGGCAGTTACAAACCGTGGAACGCAGAGGGTCAACGCGAGCGATGACCACAGGAGAGCGAAGAGTCCTTGGGGAGGAAAAAGGACAAATGATAATCCGGCAACTGGAACAGGGCAAGCAGGGGAGTATAAGTAGGTGAGGGTTGATGAGCGGATTGCCGGCAGGTGAGTAGAGATGATTGGGGTTTGCGAAAGGAAAAGCCAGGGGCAGGTGATTGGGCATGGAGAGAATGAGCATGATAAGGAGAGACACACACACACACACACACACACACGGCAAAGCCCAACTGTGACACAATGGGCCTCTTCTAAGACCAATGGATCACGTTCAAAGTCTCATGGGAAGACTTTCAAGGGTCCCTGGAAGGTCTCCAAATACCTGTATAACCCCTTGAATGACCACTGAAAACTCAATGACAATTTAAATCCCCTCAGAGACCGCTGGAACCCGTTTAAAGAACCTTAAGGGAGTATAGTGAACGTCCACACATCCTCCCCTTTATTCAGGCGGGGAGTCTTGAGAGTCTTGAGATCATCAGCTCGTTCTCTCTCAGATCCTCTGGAGTACGTCACTATGGCGATTGAGGGTGGCAACATCAACACACACAAACAGACAGACGGAGACGGATACGGATGAAAATCCCCTCTGCATCACGTCTTCTCTCGCACTGATGAGACGCAGCGGGAGCAGCTGAGCGGCCCCGAGGCCTCAGAAGGATCCAATCATCTGACGGGGCGTTTATAAAGCCGAACTTACTCGTCCTTCAGTAACTTGTGAGTATTTCTTTCTGGATCACCTTTTTTACACTTTGTATTGAAACAATCGAGATATAGCGTGTTCATTTGTGAGCTTTACCAGTAAGTGGATTTTGTCACTTACAGACAGCTGTCTTTCCCTTTCTTTCCAGTCTTTGCGCTAAGCTAAGCTAACCAGCTGCTAGCTACATTTAACAGACAAACATCAGAGTGGAATCGATCTTCTCATCTCAACTCTCCACCAAAAAGCCAATAAGCGTGGTTCCCTAAATGTCCAACTATTCCTTTAATGCTCTTCATCTCCTGGAGGACTGCTGCTCAAGGTCATTTTCCATCTTTCCATGTCAGAGCAACTTGTAGGAGGTGATCCTCGTCCAGCCATCACAGTCTCTCCTGCTTTATTTCATTGACGATGGTCTAGTTAGTATTAGTAATGAATTTATACGTCTCACACCCCTATCACATTCTCCATACAGAGAGAATGAACAGCTGAGATGTGTATCTCAGGTGAGTAAATGTGATATAACTATGTAACTTATGACACATCTCTCACGTCTCTCACGTCTTCTCTCGATCGGACAGTTGTTGGTTGAAACACAAGAGAGCGAGAGGGGGGGGGGGGGGGATAATATGTGTCTTAACATCTCAGCTCCCGTGACACCACAAACATTCAGATATTTCACAACATAACTGTTGATATTGCAAAGCCTGGACGTTCTTATTTTCAGCTGCAGTAAACAGACATATTGACGTACGTTACATGTTGGGGTCAGACAAGTACATAACACACACACACACACACACACACACACACACTTATGAAAACACATTCATAAAGACTGATAAAACTAACTCTTTGGTTATTTTAAAAACTTTATTATTTGTGGGTATAAATATTGGCAGACACTTTCACCCTCTGTCTCTCTCTCTTCCTTCATCATGCTATTTATTTGTCACCACATTTATTCCTGACCCCCCCACACACACCCACTCACTCACACACACACACACACACACACACACACACGCACACACACACTGCAGGGATCCATTAGATTGAGTTTCCCTGAATGTCAAATAATGACATAATAATCCCACGACGTCATATGTGATGTCATAGAAACCCTCGTCATTGAGAGTTATCGATTGATATCGATTGATAGCTGTAGTGGCCATTTGTCGCATAAATCAAAATTAAACAAACAATAATCAAACGCCACTGATGCACCGTGGTCGGTGTTTTACGCAGCCAGAAGAGAGAGGATTTTCCATGCAGGATTCCGATTTTCGTATTTATTAAATAAAGCAAATAAAACAAAAAGAACAAAGAAAACTCCTGTCATTCTGTCTCTCCTGTGCTGTGCTGTGCTGTGCTGGTAAAAACTATGAGCCCACCCCGGTGCATGCTGGTCCTGTTTCTCCACTCATACATATAGCCACAGGTGCCCACAGTAATTAACCAAACAGCAAAAAATAATATAACTAAGCAAATTACTATTAAAGAGAAAAAACAATCTTAATATATCAAACATCTACAATAATTAAACAATACTACTTATAAATTAAATAACAAAATACAATATCAAATAAATAGCTCCAACAAAAGCTTTTGCATCATGACGCTAATGGCAGGACTGCTCTCTGCTAAATAAAGGTTACTGAGACTCTTGGACGAACTTTTCCTTTTGAACAATTCAGTGACGTGAAGAAGCATAAACGCAGCGCAGTATTACCAAAGAGGAAGCAAACAGCACGAGGACGGAGAGTGAGCTTTACACACACATGAAGAGAACACAACACAGTTTATCAGAATCTCTCTCTTGTAAAAGTTATAAAAGTGTGTCATTCTAGCATAAAATGTGCTGCAGCCCTGCATGGTCCCACCAACAGTATTCAAAACAGACCACTCCCAAAAAGTGGCTGAACTTGTCAACCACAAAGTATCTGTCACCTCTCTGGAAAAATCAATTGTTGCCCACCAGCACTGACTGACTGACTGGAGGTCAATGTGCAGCAGCAGCAGCAGCAGCAGCAGCAGCAGCAGCAGCAGCAGCAGCAGCAGCAGCAGCAGCAGTGCAGAGTGGATGATGAGTTTGGAAAAAAGGATGTAGAAGGCGGACAGAGGACACAGAAGACTGTGGACTATTTTATCACATATAGTGATATCACATTGTCTTGGTGGCTAACAAGCATACACCCAATTCACATACAATTATATTTAAACAAACAAACCATGAATAAATAAGAGCAGGTGAGAAAAGTTGCATTAAAACGTGGTGACCGTCTCTTACATTGGGTATTACAGTGCGAATGAAAGAGTCTCTTTTTGGCCAGAGGTGCAGGGAAGCGGCTGCCAGATGTGAGCAGCTGAAAGGAGTGATGGAGGAGGTGTGAAGTGTCCTCAGCCATGAAGCCTGCCTTTCCTTTCACTGCATGACTGTAAAGGTCTGGGAGGTGGGTTAGAGGGGTGCCGGGGGTTTCAGTTGCATGCTTGATGATTCTTGACTTGACTTAAACCCGGCTGCAATGTTCCTGTTATACTGTTAGAATGCCCTGTCGGACATTGAAAACCTTAGCCTGCAGGAGAAACATGCACTGTTGAGCCTCTTTGTCTGCATGCTGTGTGAAGGACAGGTGATAGTCGGTACTTAAAAGATCTCGACCTGTTCCTCCTGACAGGTGAGTAAGGTGGAAGTGAGAGTCAGGTGACAGGTGAGAGAGTCTGAGGGCCTCTGGTGGATGGATGGAGGATAGTAACGCAGGGGTCTCAGGGAAGTGATGAAGTGGATGGAGACAGGGACCGAGGGACAGACAGTGAGATCTATCATTTTCATTCAGATAATTAATTAAGATATCCAGAGACGGCTCTGTCAATAAACAAAAACAGTAAATCAGTAAATCACATAAGTGAGCTATAGTCTGAATGGTTGTGAAGTTTTAGTGATGGAGCGTCCTGCAGTTTGTCTGAGTGAGCCTGGAGGTTTTAATTTATTATTTATTGTCGTAGCTTGAGCTTGTTTTAATTATCTGGTAGATTTAATACATAGACGCATATAAATTGTTTGCACGCAGCTGACAGATGAATGTACAGAACATGTACTCTGAAGTGACTTTAAAGTAGCACAGAATTGAAGAAAAAAAACATTTCAGAACGTGCAGTTACATCACATACACACACCTCCATCACCCCTCCTCCCCCCTGACAGACGTCACACGCGCCCTCCAATCGCCTCCTGTGTTTATCCGGCAGCTTTTAGAAATCGGGACAGCCCGACACTGAAGTTCCAAACCACATCAGTTAGTTAGTCGTGACCTCCGCTCTGCATCCGAGCACACTTTAACTCTCATAGACTATCACCTAGCATTGCATTTCAATTTGAACTCCAGCTCCCGGTGTTTTCTTCCAGAGTCTTTCTGGCTGTCCCAGCATGAGTCTCCGGTTTGTCCTCTGCGTAATGGCCCTGCTCGTCTGCCCGCATCTCATCGCCGGGTCGAGGATAGCCAAACGTTTCGCCATCGGCTGCTCTGAGAAGTGCGACAAGTCCAAGTGCGCGTCGATCCCCGCCGACTGCTTGGCCGGCGACGTGTTGGACCGCTGCGACTGCTGCCCGGTGTGCGCGTCCGGCGAGGGCGAGCAGTGCGGCGGCACCGGACACCGCGAGTGCGCCGAGGGGATGGAGTGCGCGGTGACCGACGGCGTGGAGGTGTCCGCCACCGTGAGGCACAGGGGGAAAGCCGGCGTGTGCTCCTGCACCAGCTCCGACCCAGTGTGCGGCAGCGATGGTGTCTCGTACCGGAACATCTGCGAGCTGAAGCGCGTCAGTAACCGGGCGATGAAGCTGCAGCAGCCACCGGTGATTTTCATCCAGAGAGGAACCTGCGGGGAAGGTGAGAGCTGTGTGCGTGTGTGTGTGTGTGACTGTGTGTGTGTGTGTGTGTGTGTGTTTTGAACTTGGGTGACCTCAGCAGCAGGTCAACACACAGAATGAACTTTCTTCTCCTCCATCTGTTCATCAGAGTTGTCAAACCTCCTCAGATCTTCCAAGTAATCCATTTTCTAATGAGCTTTTGTCTTAATTGACACATTCATGAAGTAAAATGTAAAGTTTAGATATGTTGATGTAGCTGAGATAACTGAGTAAGTTATCCTGTAACTGTCAGCTGTGGCCACATGTGGCCGTTGTTCAGTAAATGTTACATAGTCCAGCTTTAATTCAAAAACCTCAGGGTAACCTCAGCTTCTAGAATATACATTAGATCCCCAGAATAAGCAGCCTGTCAGTGGTTTGTGTTCTGGGTTGCAGCAGGTTTAATGCGTTTCATCAGCACTTAAAAATATGCAATTTTGATTGATGCAATTTCAATTACGATATGATTTGCGATATTACTTAATTGATTAATGATCACTTTTACATTATTATTCTAATTTTCATTGATAAAAACACGATGATGGTGTGACTTTTGTGTGGATCTTTACCAAACAAAGCTGTTTCCTGAAGTCTGTGATCTCCTCCTCTTCCTCTCTCTGTCTCTCTGGCATCTTTCCATTTGCTGATCAGTCAGATTTGCATCGGCGCCTCACACTGCACCAAACTCTAAAGCTGGGGTTGTTTTTCCTCCCTCTCTCTCTCTCTCTCTCTCTCTCTCTCTCTCTATCTATCTCTCTCTCTCTCTCTCTCTCTCTCTCTCACACACACTCACACACACTCACTCACACACTCACATGCACACTTGTTATGTTATCTCATCAAGGTCACAATGTGTAGAAATTAGGCCATAATGTCTTGAGTGTCTCCCTGTGCTGCAAAAACAAACAGTGTTCCCCTGTGAGTGTGTATGTGAGAGAGAGTAATGAAAGCATATTGAGGAGCAAACACACACACACACACCTCTCCCCTCATTTCTCTCATCCTCTTTCCTCCCCTTCCATATATAATCTCTCCAGGAAAAGGACAGATGAAGGAAGAGGAGAAGAGGAGTTTGCTTCTCCTCTGTCTCCTTCCATCTGTGCTTTAACTCCTCTCCTCTCCTATCATGCCTTTTCTCTTTCTGTCCATTCATCTCATCTCCTTTCCTTGCACGTCTTATACTTCCCCACTTTCTCTCCTTTCCTTCTCTCCTTGTTGCTAATTTACTCTCGTCCTATCTCTAATATGTCCAACCAAGAGAGAGTGACAGGATTGTCTCATCGCCTCTTCTGAGGATTTGAACTTCTTAGCACGCACGTTATCAAGTCTTCTGTAATGATTCATCTCTTGGAGCTGATTGGCTGATTGTGTACCTTCTGCAACAGACACAGATCTGAGTCAATCTAAGTTATTTAACCCAGATTGGAAGGGATCCTTTTACTGATTTTTTATTATTTCTGCTTCCTGTCCAGTCTTGTGAGGTCTTTGTCAGATTGACAGGCTTGGATACAGAATCAACAAAACACGGTTGCACGATGACTCAACTCTGTCAGGAACTGGAGGAATGTTTCCCAGTTCAGGCTCGTCCAGCTCGTAATGAGATTTCACATGAAATTCAAAACATGCTATCGTTTGGTTTCTGGGTGGATGGAATTTTTGAGCTGCTTTCAGGAGACAAAGTTTTTTGTGTTCGCAACAAAAAGCTTCTCAGCCAACTTGTAAGTGTGGAACTACATTCAAAAGACAAACCATCCGTTCTTACATTTGATTGTTGCAGAGACAAACCAGGCTGCAAATATATAATGAATGACCAATGAATCAGCTTCTTTTTCTTCTATATTAAAGAATAATACTGGTGTTATACTTTATTTTTCCTGTTATTTACACATTGCATGAAAAGACCAAGTAAACTGTGTGTTAGTCCGTCTTCTCTATCTGTGGCGCTCAGCACCAAGTCCATTGGTCCATTGTTTTGAACTTGATGGTGCATTCAAGGACACTGACATCTGAGCACAGATTATCAAAGGTACCTGCTGCATCTTTATTCACCGAGTCAGTGCACAATTGACCTTTTTCGACCTCAGTCTGTTACCGACACCTGCAGTGTGTTTCTCCGCTCGTCAGACTGGCTCCATTCAGTTCACTTCAAAGCTGCAGCAGCTGGCGCACCACTAATCCTCCGGCCAAACACACACACACACACACACACACACACACAAACACATCGGGGTCTTCGAGACGGTCGGCTGCAGCTGAGGCTGAAGTGGACATTCACTACAAACAGCTGCTCAGTCAGAAAGTCAGCAGCAGCACCGGAGGAGGTCCTCTGACTCGAGTCATGTGAGTCAGACTTCAGACTCAAGTCAAGATTACGAGGACTAAATATGCATGTTTTTATTGAAGTTATGTGGCATGTGCTGACTTGAAATACTTTCCAAAAAGTCAAACGGTGTAAAGTTTGCTTTATGATAAAGTAAACTGAAGTAAAGAAGATCATTTAACAAACAATCTGATTATTGTGTGAGAGCTGATGTAGCTTAGTTCCAGATAATTTAGCAGTTATTTTTCTTGTCTTTTTTTTGTAACAATAACAGAATACACATAATTGATATGCACTAAGAGCTGCAACGATGAGTCATCAACTCTTGCATAATCTGCAACTATTTTGAATATTGATTAATTGTCAAAGTAATTTCTACAGAAGGGTTTTTAGCTACATCAGCTCTCACAGAGACAATAAGTAGATAAGAGATCAGCCCATTGATCAAAATCAAAAACTATAGATATGCCTAAAAATGAACTTCTGATTCCTTGTTGTTGAAATGTTCCTGTTACCTTGGTGTTGTCTTTGCTTTGTGGTGCAGATTACAAAAACACTGAAACCCAGATTCACTCCGTATTTAGCTGTGTCCACGAGACGTTGGCTGCCAGCAGCAGGGTGTTGAAGCGATTAGAGTTAGAAACCTGTAACCAAATGCTGCTCACAGCCATCATGTTCTGATTAGTTGATCTGAACGCTGCAGAGTTTCTTCCTTGAGTTCATAACGAGTCCAGAAAATACTGTGTTTTTCTGCACCAAGAAATGTTGGCGTAATCCAAGTGACGGAGAACACAAGGGATTGTGGGTATTAGGAGATGGGGTGCAGTTCCCCATGTTTAGAAAGCCAACAGGTAAAGTGCAACACACCCTGGTGGAACACTGCTGGCGTTGACAGAGAGACAGAGGAAGAAGTGAAGGGACTGGGAAACACGTGAAAGTTGTATCATGATGCACCATGATCCTGTTCAGTATTACCCTAATGTCTGGTCCCGTGCTGCTCTACAACATTCTGCTCTTATAACACATGTTGTTGACACCAACACACACGGAAGGGGGAGAGTGAGAGAGTGTCTCCTGACTGGTCCCTGCAGGTCCCTGCAGGTCGGAGTGCGAGGGACGTACACAAAGACCGACCAGTGAAATGAGACAATAAAGATGTTGTGAAACCAAATTGGGGTTATGTAAGGTGATGCATGGACTGGTAACCCCCCCCCCTGTTATCCCTCTGTATCTTTTGTGCCTCTGAGTCATTTCCTTTGTTTTGTAAGCATCGCTGAGAGCAGCAGACGGTCTGCAGCTGCTCTCAGACAGCTCGTATGCTGCACTCCACATCTGGAGCTGGTTTAACTCGACGTTATGCACGATTGACGACGCGTTTCACACATATAGACATTTTATCTTACCTGGCAACACGAGCCCGTCTCTATGGGGTCAATACGGTTTGGTTTGAGAGAGTACAACACATGATTGACTCCCAGTACCTGTGCTGCTGCTGCTGCTGAGCAAAACCCAAGTCATCATGATGTGTGTGTGTGTGTGTGTGTGTGTGTGTGTGTGTGTGTGTGTGTGTGTGTGTGATGCAGTTCATTGACGGTATGTTTTCCCTCCTTCAGGTCAGCAGAACCCTGACAGTCTTCGTTTCAAGTACAACTTCATCGCTGACGTGGTGGAGAAGATTGCGCCTGCTGTCGTTCATATTGAACTGTACCGCAAGTAAGAAACACGACCTGAAAAACTACCACCTAACTATTCTAACAATGATCTGGTGACATTTGTGTTTTTTAATTCAAATATTAGATGGATCGTCACTAACTTTGTTGTCAATATTAATGAATATTAATGAATATCTTCCTCAGGCTGCATTGTAATAACTTTGGTGATCGCCTGAATGGAATCTTGTTTATTCATGTCTTCACTTGGTTCCTCTTAACCTGTAGTTCAGTGTAGAAGAAATGTATATTTAGTTTTTAGTTAACATGAGTTCATGTGATTGCTCGCGTCTCATAACTCTTTCTGCTCAGGATCTTATTCTTAAAGCGGGAGGTGGCGGTCGCCAGCGGCTCTGGGTTTGTTGTGTCTGAAAACGGACTCATTGTCACCAACGCCCACGTGGTAGCCAACAAGAACCGAATCAAGGTACGCAGAGCAGTTTTACAGCTGTCGAGACAATATGCCCAGATTATGTTTTTGTGATCAATGGTATTTTAATCTTGTCGTTAATTTCTCATATTTATTGTTTTCCAAACATGTCCACTTCATGATTTTTGTTTCATGGTTGAAACAAACATTGTCAGTGATGATGAGCTTCAGTATGCCTCTGCATTTAATTCATAAAATAATAACCAAAGAATATCAAATGAAGTGGCAGTTTATCAGAGACAAAGGCGACTGGTGCTGAGTAAGATAACCTTTTTTTTGTTTCCTCCAGGTGGAGCTGAAGAGCGGAGCGACATTCGACGCCAAGATCAAAGACGTGGACGAGAAGGCCGACATCGCTCTGATCGAGATCGATGCACCGGTGAGCAGAGAGACAGATGAATGGATGGGATGGTTCTTATTCCTGTTTTTAATTTCTTTATAGAGACTTCACCTTTTAGCTTCTGTCTGTATTGCAGTGTCAGCCTCTCCGTCCATCACGCTGGATGTCTTAGACGTTCACTGATGATCATTTCCACAATGACGTTTCTATTTCTTCTAAAGTCTGCAGACGTTTTTGTAGTTAGTGCTAATGAGGTTCCTTGCTTCATCCCAGAGATATTTGGCTGCTGCAGTGTTTATTTATGTGACAGATTTTTTATTTTTAATCTGGAGGAATGATTAATTTCACTTAATTTATTTGCTCATCCATTTGCTGTCCAAAAATCGTCATAATCTCTGATTTACGACAGAACTTAATCAAGAGGAGACTTATGTTATAAATAGAGAGACTTATGTTATAAATGATATGCCTTCCATGTTATCTTCTCTTTCTTGGTTCTGTTTGATGATGCAGCTCTCTAGAAACCTCCGCCCTTCACTTCCTCTCTCTCCTGTTAAAAGCTCCTCTCATCTGTCTGCTTCTCTCTTTTTGATTTTCCAAAACAGAATCAAGTATTTATTGCTTTTTTGGAAAGAAAATTGCTTTTATTTTTTCCTGAGCATCCCCTAAATGGAAAGCCTGGTTTTTATTTTAGCTCAGTGCTATTTGACGCGCCTCAGCAAAATAATATCATGACTCATGAAAGCCGATATCAGCGGGTCAGGGGGAAACTTTTCATGTGGGTTCATCTGAGTTGTTTGTCTTATGACGCAGCACAAAAAGCACGTATTATATGACACAGAAAACTCAAGAATACACTGAACTGTTCTTTGCCTCCTCCAGTCTGTGGAGGGCTGGTTCTGACCTGCTAATGCCATCTAAACACAAGCTTCCTTTCTGCCATCTTGATCTGCCATCAGTGGAAAGCAGGGGTGTGTGTGTGTGTGTGTATGTGTGTGTGTGTGTGTGTGTGTGTGTGTGTGTGTGTGGTGAAGATGCTTCCACAGACTCAGACAAACACACAAAAGGATGCAAACATCCCCACAAGCATAAAATAATGTCATCTGTCCAAAGACTGAGCACAAATGTAAATTTGCCAAATAACAAACAGGTTACAAATGGTGTTTTGGTTTTGTTATTTTAATTAAATAATTAAGGATTAGTTTTGGACATGATTGAACTCACTTTAATGTTAAAATGTTGTGGAGTCTATATGATCCACACACACACACACACACACACACACACACACACTGCAGGATGTGAGTTCATGTTTGCCGGTCAGACAGACGATCGTGGTTTTCCTCGGTGTGTTTGGGGCGGAGAGCCTTTTGGGAGGAACTGGAGCCTCAGGAGATGAAATTGTGCAGAAATCCACAAACTGCTGAGCACTTGTGGTTTCACACTCACACAAAAACCCAGAGACAACTGTTCTTCTGCACAAAGTACTTACAGCCCTCCACTCTCCCAACACACACTTAATGTAATCATTTTAATGCTTTTTTTAGCTCTAAATAATGTCGGTGAAAAGGCCAAATATGAGATTCAATGAGATACAAATCACAGCAGAAAGTGTTATAAAGTCACCACATCAATACTTTGATGGCGGTGACTGTCCTATTTAGGAATAACAGTAATAAAGGCACTTTTCAAGACAGTCTGAGTGGCACAAGACTCCCTGTGTGCTTTTCACAGTGCAGGTCCAGTAACGTGTTTGCAGACAAAGCAGTCCGACGTGTAGATGCATGTTCAGGGCAGATACGCTCCGATCAGAGGAGAGCCTTAAAGGTTTTGTTCACATTATGAGCCAAACTGTCTTGTTGTAATCTTTTGGTAAGCAGACAAAGTTAGCGAGTACGTGTTGGATGTCGTGAAGCATTTAGCAGCTAAAGAGACTCAGTTATATTTCTCAGGAGTTGGTGGAGACCAAAGGCAAAGTTCAAAGGAGAGAGAATGTTGGACTTAAAGTCCACCTGGTGGCCAGAAACAGGACTACAGCAGAGAGCTTACGTTGCTCCATTACGATGAAAAAGCATCCAGAGTTTTTTTATTTTTTAAAAATATTTCTATGTTAATATCTTGACAACATATCACCACTCTAACCATGGTTGTATGGTAGGCTAGCTTCGCCCCTTTGCTTTTTATGAACTATGTGGCCGACTATCTTTGTGTTTGAGCACCAACCGGAGGATGTCTGCTTCATACTCTAAATAGATGAGCTTGTCACCGATCAATCGGACAGCTGTAACGTCAGAGACAAGGAGAGACAAAGCATTCAGTGATATAAAACACTCAGCAGCAACATTCACTGTCAAACCGACCGATCTGCTCCCACAAATTGGCGTTTGGGTCTTTGTCATTATTGTGTCTGTCCGAAATATAAAGACGAGCTTCTCCTCCATTTTTTCTACAGCGCTTTTCTGAAATGTTTCTTTAAAACTAAATTCTCTTGTTACATAAAGGCAGAAGGTCCTGCATGGCTAGATGAGTGTCAGTGTGTGTTGTGGGTTAACTGACCCTGTAACATGCTGACTGTATACTGGAGATTGTATGCATAAAAGAGGAATGAATGGGAGAGAGATAGGAGAAGGAGAGACAGATGAGAGAAGAAGAAGAAGAAGAAGAATGTTCCTTGTTGTGGTGTTTGGTTGTTTTGTTGCATTCTGCTGTGTCGGCGTCTCTTGAATTACAGCTGAACACAGCGCCTCCCTCGGCTTTGAAGTCTCATCCCAGACAAAGTGCTGCCATCCTGAAAACCACAGAGCGAGAAAATCGTGGTGATCTTTTTTCCTGGTGGGCGGAGCTCGGCCGGCTGCGTGTCGGTGGACGAGGGCTTCAGATGATTTGAGTTGTGTTTGTGGTTCAGTGCAGAAGAACAGAGCAGCTTTATGTTGAAGCTCCGATTGGAAGAGCTCAACGAGTCCATTCATGACCATCTCCTTTATGTCGGTGTAGGCTTGATGGGGATTGACTGAGGTAGTTTGTGTATCAATCTATCTCGAAATGTTCTCTTGTATGTATAGTTAACAAGTATCGGCTCTAATGAATACGCTGTAGGATCACTCAGCCCATAAGGAAAAGAAAACTCATTAAAATAATTGATGAAGTCTTTCCTCGACTGAGTTCCCTTTCTTTTGATGTGAATTTGCATATTTGCTTTCTGAGCAAAAAGTATAAATTTGGAGAATTTTTGCTGATCCTCTGAGGTGTTTGAAGAGTAATATTGAGGCACCGTGTTTACCCGCCGTGACAGCGAGCCTGGTATTGTTTTCACCTCGTCAGTCTGTGTGTGAGTCATCCTGTAGATACCGACTGGAGCTGGAACCTTTTAGAACTTTGTCAGGTGTTTGTATTTCTGTGTGTGTAGTTGAGAATAAAATGAAGGCCGAGTTTGAAGACGGAATGAAGACCATGAGAGACGCACAGTGAAGCTGCTGTGTAAGCACACTTTAATCTCACATTTTGGCTTCTGTTTCAGAATTCACATTTTATTTTGCTTTGTATTTTGCCCCGACTCATCCAGACCTAAGGACACACACTTCGTCTCTGTTTTTCCTCCCTCCCTCTCTCTCTCTCTCTCTCTCTCTCTCTCTCTCTCTCTCTCTCTCTC